AAAAAAAAAAAAAGGAAAAATGTTGAATATTTTGATAATACAAAGCAGCTTGAACCCAGAAAAGTGGGGACATGGAGAGGCAGAGACGAAGGTCCATGTAAAAAGAAAAAGAAACTCAGCATGAAACCGTTTGCTCAAACTGGGGGGAAGTACAACTTGTACAAGACTTTCAAATTTGTACTTTCTTCTTTCGTGGTATTACCAAGAGATATTTCCTGTTTCATGCTGCTAACTACTTGAACTTCTTAGGAATTTACCATTTATTAGTTCCAATTTAAGTTAACTAAAAGATAAGAATCTTTGAGCAGCAAGAAAATGCGAAGAAGCATTGGGAATCACAACAAGCTCAATCTGTTCTAACCCCATGTTGCACAAGCAAAACCACTAGAAAATAACATTTTAAATTTATTATTCATCAATCAACCTGCAACTCTACACATTTTATCAGACATTTCAATTCTATCCTTTTTCTTCTTCATGATATTACTTTCCATCCTTTTTCTTCTTCATGATATTACTTTCCATCCTTTTTCTTCTTCGTGGTATTACTTTCCATCCTTTTTCTTCTTCTTGCCTCTCACTGTTGATCACATTTCACTGCTTACAGCAACCTTGAAGGCCTTTCGGACGGTAGCATTTTGTCATCTCTTAACTAGTTGTAACATCATTCAAAACCAGAAATTCTATTTCCTATTTCCTCCAGTAATTTATTCTTGCTAACAAATAATTCTCCCAGCTTATCATTGCGGTAGTTTTCCAAATATTTTAAAGAAATAACCAACTTGTATCTCAACACCTAAATGATTCTGCAGTTTGTTGAAAAGACGTTCATTTCATACAAACTTATTCATGTATAAATCTACCACACATAAATGAAATATATTATATGAACTGGATGGCAATAATTTATGAACGAGCATTTCACTTACCTTACATCACTTCCTTTACGGAAAATGCGAATGGATGGATAACCTTGTATGTGATGCCTGAATTTTCCATTGTGAAGCATGGTTAGCAGTAAAGAAACTAATTCAGGCAACTAAAGAATTGGGAGTGGTTCTGTGGAAGATCAAAATAAAATGCAAAAAAGTTGGTCATAGTAAAGTCAACATGTGGATTATACATCCCAATCGAATGCCAATAATGAGGGGATACCATAAAAATCCAAGATACAAAATCCTCCCAACTTTCAATAGACCTAAGAAAAATTGATAGTATAGAGATCAAATCGAAAAAATTGTCAACATTTTTTTTTATATCGGTGAGTGTTCGAGACCAACTCACGCGCATCTCGACTAATCTCACAGGACAACCGCCTGACTCTACAACATATGATGCCGGGAAACACAAAAGAATTACTAATTTCTAAGGTAGGTGGCCATCTTGGAAAAAAATTATCAAATTATCGACATTAAATTCCTCTTTGGACGGGTAAACCAAATATTTTGACATTTGAATAAAAATATATGGTATATACAAGACCAGCTTACTGATAAGAACAATGGGAAGCTATAAGTGCGTTTCATGTACTCATCACAGAAAAAGGTAAGAGGAGCTAAGGAATAGAGTTAGTTACAAAGGGAGGGGCGGCTGGTTGGTTTTTGGTGTAATACAGACAATTAATTAGTCTATTAGGTAATGGTATACAAGGGTAATCTCGTATGGGAAGGGGAGCTAACTAGTCATCTGTACAGAATAAGGACTAGAGTTCTATAGGGAAGGGTAGAATCAGGTCTTTCGAAAGCCGAAGAAGAAACAAATTGTAGTTTTGTTACTAGATGGAGTCAAATCAATTAGAATATCACTTACCTCCGACACAAATCAGCTTCATCTGTGCAATCAACCTTTGCCAAGAGAATTCGTCCATCTACGTCTGGATCGTATCTGGAAAAACAAGTACATCATTAAAATTATACAGCATGACTGAGAGGTAATAAATTTTACCATGATAAATTAGAAAGAAAGAAACTACCAAAATTACTTATCTCCAATGAAATAAAACAAAATAAAAATACCAAAAGCAGAGCACCTTTCTCTTATAGTTTTGGCAGCCTTCTCCCATGAAGGTTTCTGGAATATAACAGAACTGATAAGAAAATGGAAGACAATAATGTACTTTTCCAATGCTCATGATGAAATTCATGTGCCCGGTCTAATTATTCTATTGTTTATTCAATGTCCCCTGTTGCAGGACCAACTAATGCTTATGTTTTTGGGTCTAAAATTATAAGATAGGTGGTCTTCAAAGTAAAAGGATGGCAAGCCCAAGTTTCTGCTTCCCAGCTTCGTCTTAATCAAAATGTACCCAAATATCATATCCCTAACATAAGAAATTATCAGAGAACATGATGAGATAGAATCTCCCGTGCAAAAAATTTATAACTTTCATAATAAATTCTCTGTTCAAGAGTAGGACTTGGAGAAGAAACCAAACCATACTTTTAGTGAGAAGTGATATTCAGATACAGAGTGCTAGAGAAGTTTTCAGATACGAAATAATTGCATTAACATTAACAGTTATGAAATGGTCGGGGGACATGGAATCCAACCGTCGTCCAAATGACAACTATACAACTGCTTTTTGTTCAGCACAGCAATGTTTCATCTGTGATGGATTATAACAGTAATCCTTAAATAATTAGTTAACAGAAAACAATTTCTCATTTTGACTAGTACATCATATATGTTCTTAGTTTGGCAGGAATCCACAGCTTAATATTAGTATGAAAGAGAACCCGTATAGAAAATGAAATTTAAAAATTTAAAGAAAAACCAAGTACTCAGATGAATTTTAACGATTGAATATTAGTATCCACCTCCAAATAACTTTAGGGATCTTTATTATAAAATAGAAATATATATATATACACACTCATGCACACACACACAAGGGAATCAATTTTACCAGCTTATTACTCCAGTAGCACCAAGGAGCAAAAAAGTTAACAACCAAAATAGGATGCCTGCAGAAGTGTAATTTGAAATAAACATAAGGTACAACTACATTATACTGGTAAATCAGGTAAAATTAAAAATTGGAATTCAAAAAATGAACAATCTGAGCCCCAGATATCAATTATGCTTACTGATTAGCATATCTATCGAAGTTCCGAGAATTCAACGTAATAGAACCATCAATGGTTTCTTCATCTACTTCATCCCCATGCTTAATCAAACTCGATAGTGGGCCTGAGTGAAACTCAGATCCAGTCGACCGCAAATTTGAATCTATAGAAAATTTACGGATTGTTTTCGTAATATTCAACCTATTCTGCAGAGAGGGAAATATTTAGCCTTCTATTATAAGCCACAATAAAATTCAGAAATCAACACACTCGGGTATTACATGCATAAACAAATAATGATTTCATTTGAATAAACATAAACTTACATCATAAAATGAAAAATATCACACAAGAAATAGGTATCATCCCCAGGAGCTTATTAAAAAGGAAAAAAAATGCTTCAATTTGTGTTAATTATAGAGGGGTATAGTTACAGCAGAATTTTTCCAAATATGGAATAGATAGTGCGCAATTGTGATGTAGTGAGTCAGTTAAATGGTTTTTTGGTTTGATTGTTTTAGTTTTTTTAGTTACTTAGTTGATGTTTTCTCTATAAATAGATACTTTCTCTTGTATTGAAGAGGATTAGAAGAATTTTGAATTGGAACAAATATTTCCTTTCTTGAATTTTTGGAGAGAGCACAGGCCCCATCAAACGGGAAACACTATACATATTTAGACATGTAATTAACAACTAAAACAAAGTTACTAATTGGGCTCAAACAAAGTTACTTTAAATATTTAACTTGTGGGCAGCAAAATAGCAAAAAAACTGAATCATATTGTATTGCACAAGCATAAAGCACCTTTTCTTTTCAAGGGCTGGAATATAAAAGGAAAGGCTAAGATGATTATGTGGTGCTGCATGGTGAGAGCCCTCTTTTGGCAAATTTGGAAGGAGAGAAACTAGAGAATTTTTTAAGATAAGCCTTCCTCTATAGATGTTTTTTGTAGTATTGTCCAGCATAATGTTTCTTGGTGGTGTTCAAACCACAGAAAATTCTTGTAATTACAGCTTTTTGATGATTATTTCATTTTGGAAGAATTTTTAGTTAGCTAGATCTTTTGGAAGACTTTTTACTAGTTCTTGGGTGGAGGTCTTCTCGCTCCCCAGCCCTTAGTCTGTTCTCTTTTATCTATGGAATATACATCTTTCTGTTTCTTATTATTTTTTTTTTTAAAAAAATGCACTTGTATTAGAATACAAAAGAAAACTGCATGTGACTGCAAGAAAAACATCTATTACATTTAGTTATCTCAAATAAACGATTCTAAACTTCTTAGTTTTTAAATTATTGACATTTTTCTACCAATTTATACGTAGAAAAAAAATGAAAATCACTAATTCGTATTATTCAAGATGCTATCATTGCCGTCATGGGGATTTGAAAAACCTACATATTAAAATGTATTTTGTGATGAAATGTGGATAGTAAGATACATATATAAGTATTTATATTAAATATTAACTGTAATTGTCATGTTATATATAATTGCTTTCTTGTTATCAACTAATATCATGAATTCTTCTTCGACCCTTTCTTTAACGACGAACAGGACTTTTCATCTATAAATAAAATATAGTAGTACCGACTCCGAAACCAAGAAAGATAAAGCTGCCTATCAATAAATTTAAAAAAAAAAAAAGAATCTTAGTTACAGAAACAACTAGTGAGAGTATAAAGAGGAACTGAAAAATGAATTATATCCCACAGACCTAGTCTCTAGATTTATCTTCAAAGCTCTAAGGTTTCTTTCCAAGTGCAGAATAACATCGTTCGATCATATTGACAAGCACATTTCTGCATAGGTAATTGACAAAAGAAATAGAAGGATAAAACTTACAGTTCCTAACACATCGTGCACGTCTACAGCAGCAAATTCGCATGAGAGTGCAGGGAAACTACAAAAAGTAAAATAAAGAAAGGCGATGAGTGAAAAGTTAATCCATCAAAAACTTCTTTATTTGGGTTGGGGCATGGAGCTAAAGGCAAGCAACATGTGGGTCAATATTCTTTTTCATGAAAACCACTTTCGTTAAGGACGTTCGTAACATGTTATACAGAACCACACAGTACCTGATATTAAAGTCCATCCGCAAGAAATCTCCATCACTACTGTTGTCAACAATAACAGATGTAGACGTACTAACGCTCAAATAATTACTCAATTCCTGAAAATAAAACTTAAAATCATGACCAAGAAAAACCTAGATAGGTAAATAAAAAGGATAAAATCAAATTAAAGAAGCAGAATTAAGGAGCAAGCCGCAAGCTCCATGTGATAGCAAGAAATGCGAGCTATTTGTATTAGATTGGGTGGAACAATAACCCAACTTCATGCTCAATATGTCGATTCTGAATATTTAATTGAAGAGAAGACGCAAAGTACCATTCCAAATAAAAACATCATGGACAGGGCTGCTACCATGGACAATCCGGCACCTGATAACGTTGCCTCCGTTAAATCTCTTGGTATTTTCCTGCAGACAAAGGAATCAACCACAAATGAAAGATCATACTTCACCATGTGCAAAACCATATCTTTACAAACGAAAAATAACTAGAAATGCCATAGGAATGAAATTCAATAATGTAATGATCTTTCCAACTGTCACAACGAATATCATAACCCACTACGCATGTTTGGCCAATATCAGCTGTCTAGAAATGTCAAGGATCGAAGTACATTTGCTATCAATTCAACCCTTGATTGACTATATTAAATGCACAACATCATTCAAGTTAGAATCAATGTCAGAAGAATGCCATATTCCTTCCAAACAGATGGTCGAAAATAATTTTGATCTGCAAATAACCAGCTTCAATAAAATGGATTAGATCAAACTTGAGCAAAAAAAACCAAGGCCATCAAAGCCTCAATCGAAGACAGCCTCCTCCCTTATGCTGTAAAATCACAACCCAACAGCCAACGAACATAAAATTCCCACAAACATGCGCACCCAATACGTTACCAGTCCCTCAGATTATCAGCAACATTCGAAGAAAGAGCGTAAACAAGATAATGGTTGCACGAAACATCACAGAAATGGGTGTTTGAGAGGCAGAGAGGGGTGGAATTATGAAAATGCGTAGTGGGAAAATGGGAAAATGGCAGAGGCAGAGATCTGACCTGTAGAAATCTACAGATTTGAGCTTGGTGGAGGAAATCATGGCTGGATGGCTGCAAAATCCACTCCACAGGCTCACTCTGGAAGGAAGAGGGAGAGAGACAGATAGAGCGAGAGGGAGAGGGTCCAGGAATTTGCGTGATTTGGGTCCTCTACGGCATCAGCTGGCTCGGCCCGAGTGCTCAGCAACCGAAACCATGGAATTATAAGAAAGCTACACGCAGAGGAAGAGAAAAGAGAGAGAGAGGAAAATTTAATCCATTACCATTTGTATTATATTTGCTAGCAACAATTTCACCTTCTATTTTTTTGTATTTTTTCAATTTAGTTCTTGAAAGTTTCGAATTTAGTCTCTTTTTACTTTCACATTTTTCAATTACTACACTACGTGTCGGTGGAGATTTGAACTTGCAACTTTTTAATCGGATATAGGCTTCTCTAACACGTTAAACTTTATTCATGTTTTCAATTATATTCTTACCGTTGAAAAATATTAAAATTTGTTGATTATGAACTTACGTGTTGTGATAGTAAATGAACATAAAATTTTAGTTATGCCAACTCGATTTTTAAATAAAATTTTGGTCTTTTTTCTCTTAGGTTATCTAATAACTTTTTTGCCAACTCAATAAGTATAATACATTTTGTAAAAAAAAAAAACATATATATATATATACGCTATTTTAACATTCACCCTAGGAGTATTATTGAAATTAAAACGTAACTAAATTGAATATTTTAAACAATAGGGTCCAGATCGAAATCATAATAATAATAATTTACTTAAACATTAGGTACTAAGGATATATTTAGCCTTGTATTTTTAATATTTTATAATGATTTAGTTTTTAGTTTTATGTTTTCAAAAATCATGTTACTTCCTTATAATTTATTTGATATTTTTTTCACATTTTCTTTGTAATACATTTAAATTTTGAGTTAAATTAAAAAAAAACAAACAACAAACCAACTAAAAAAGACAAAATCTTAAAATTACCTTTCTTTTAGCTTTAAAAATTTGACTTAGATTTTAAAAATGTTTTCGTAGAGTAGACAACCAACCAGTGTTTATAAGTTCTATTTTGAAAAATAAAAAACTATAAAACAAAATAGTTATCAAATGAGACTTAGTTTGTATATCTTAATAAATATATATAATCTTTGAGTTTCTAACATCTAAAAGTCTATTTTAATCATTGCGTGATTTCGATCAAAAAGTTTATTGGATTCATCATGCATGCGTGCAATATCAAAGACAACAAAAAAAGGAGATTACATGTAAAAATAAAGATGTGCTAGATATCAATCTGCTAATTGTCAAACAACTCGGCGCTTAAGTTAATTTGAATTTTTAAGTTTGGTAAGCATAAAGCATGACAGATGTTATTGGGTTACAAAATTTGACACGTTGGTATATTTATGATGTTAATCTCATCTTTCGAGTGTTTGGATGAAATATTCTTTTGAAACACATGTTTTAGTTGAATAACAATTAACGCCGTTCAAGAGTTTTAAGTAAAGAGTTGTTGGTGTGAGAAATGCTCCGTTTAATAAAAATCATATTTTGAAAAATCTAATGTGAAATGATTGTATCGTATTCATACATCGTATGAGCTATGATCTTGTGGATATCTACCTCATAATATAGGTTAAGTTAGTTCATAAATTATCTTAAAATACGTATGGGTTGAATATAGCCAACTTATTAATTATAAAAAAATATTTATTTCAATACAATCTCTTATACATATACATATATTTATATATACCACTCTAATTTAATCTCTCTTCTAACTTTCACACTCCCAAAACTTTAAAAAAATATAATTTATAATTTTTTATTAATATATTATTATTTGTAACTTCTAATCTTAATTTCAATTTGGAATAAATAAAAAAAATTGGAATAAATCGTCTGAATAATTCAATCTATTCTGACTCAAATATATATATATTTATTTTGTTTAATAATGGATTTTTTTATACACCATTTAATACTTGGATTAGGTTTATCCTCTAGGCTCTAACAAAGATTATCTGAATATTCCTTAAAAAAAGAAAAAAATACAAAAATGATCTGAATTATAAATTAGAGAAATTAATAATCGAAATTAATATGATTATTGGTCAGAGCGTATTTTGAGCACATTTTAAACGCGCCGTTTCAATCGTTGAGCAGTGCCGTATCGTGTCCCACTTTGACACCTCCGTTGACAGCATTTATCTCCGCCGCCGCCTCCCCACCGCCGTTCACCGGAGAAAGAGATAGAACTATCAACATGATCAATCGAACGCTATTCTCTGCGTTGAAGAGATCGATTCTTCCGTCGTCTACGTCGCAATCGCAATTACTTCCGTCATTCTCCTCCACTTGTCGATCCGTATGCTACTCGATTCACTTCCGAAAATTTGCAGAACTCTCTCTCGATTTTTCTCTAATTGCTCTGAAATCGCAGGCTAGCACATTGGTTTTGGCGGAACATGATGGTGGTTCTATCAATGCTGCATCCGTTAGTGCTATAGCGGCTGCCGGCTCTTTGAGCAAAGGCAGTTCGATCTCCGTCCTGTTGGCTGGCTCAGGGCCTTCGCTTCAGGAGGCTGCTCAGCACGCTGCCTCTTGCCACCCATCTATTTCTCAGGTATCTTTGTTCCTTAGTCATTTTGCATGGAAGATTCGATTGTCGAACAATTTTGCTTCGAAAGATACCTAGGAATTGTGTAAGGGTTTTTGGTTTTGGATGAGTAGTTAGTTTCTTTCGGGTGGGGAACTTTTTAGGACAAAGAATTCAGAAAGATTAGAGGGATCCGATAGGATTATTCCTGTCCGTGGTTTACTTGTTACTGATAATATCAGAGGTTAAATGTTGTTTAGGTGCTTGTTGCTGATTCCGATAAATTTACATACCCTCTGGCAGAACCTTGGGCTCAACTAGTCCAATTGGTCCAACTGAGAAATGGGTATTCTCATGTAATTGCGGCTTCAGGTTCCTTTGGGAAAAATATTCTTCCTCGTGCCGCTGCTCTTTTGGATGTTTCTCCTGTTACTGATGTTGTTGCTATATCTGAATCTCGTCAATTTGTGAGGTTCGTACTGTTTTTTAGGACCTTAATCCGTCAATATAATGACTTGTTTGGAACATGTTTGTTTGGACTGTTGGTATACCACACAATGCTGAGCCAGGACGCTCCGTCTATAGAAGCATATATTTCTTTCTCACGAATTAAACCCTTTTGGTGTACGTAAAATAGTAAATATACTTTGCAGTGTTGTTTATGTTGCAGAAATTCATATACTTGAGAGGAATACTTAAATTCTTTTTCCATTCCATGTTATAATGTTAACTTTTATGAACCACAACTTTGCATTTCGTAGGATAAAGTTGGTATGTGATTATGATGTACCTCAAATTTTATCTCTTTCGTAGGATAGAACTGATGATTTGATTTGGAACTCATAATAGGCCTATATATGCTGGAAATGCACTTTGTACGGTTCGATACACTGGGGCTGACCCTTGTATGTTGACTGTACGATCAACATCATTCCCAGTGACCTCAAGATCAGCTGAATCGACATCTAATAAGTCTCCTATATCTCAGGTTGATCTCTCAACGTTTGGTGGAGGTAGGCCGACTTTTCATCACAAAGAATTCGATTAAAAGTGAATGCTTCTTTCTGCTTATATGATTACCCTTGGATGTATTTTTTATGAAATTCCCATCCTACAATGGGAACACTCTATTGTAATTCTCTAGATCATATTAATTTTTCTGTAAATTAGTTCAGTGGATTGTCAGAGAGTTAGAACATGTAACTAGATTTAATGAGCCATGCCATTCTTGCAGATTCTGTTGGAAAATCAAGATATGTAAAGCACACATCTCAGGAAGCAGAACGTCCTGATCTTGGGAATGCACGTGTTGTTGTCACCGGAGGACGTGGTTTGAAAAGTGCTGAAAACTTCAAAATGATAGAGAAGCTTGCGGGGAAACTTGGTGCTGCAGGTAGATTCAGCTTTAATTGAACCTACAGTTCTTTTTCTTTCTGTATCATCAATCATTGCATTTTTATTCTTTTGTTTATGAAGTATTGATTGTTAGTCACTTCTCATGGGAATTGGGATATATGTTGCCTCATGCCTGTTAGTGTTTGAAGAACACAAAAGATTAGATCTCACATCTCAGCATAGGGCACTGTATTCAGTTCATTCTACTCTAAGAAACCAATTTTGTCAATAGCGAAATGGGAATATGTTGTTTAATCCATTCTCTAATTGCATCGACTAATCTGTTCCTCTTTCTCTTATTTATTAAGTCGGTGCCACACGTGCTGCTGTTGATGCTGGATTTGTTCCCAATGACCTCCAGGTAACACCTCTAGATGCCTTCCCTGCTCGTGATCAGAGTGTATTATCTGACTTTAAGCATTGAAGTTTACCTAATACAAATTAATTTCCGACACTGTATTACTTCATTGGCTTTTCATTGCAGTTTGATTGTGTAAGATGGTGAACTTTTAGAATCCCCAACCCATCAAGAACCCAAAGAGAGAGAAATAAAAATAAAATATAAAATCACATTCTTGAGTTTAAACACTATAATCAGATACCTCGGTTCATATCTGTTTTCTGACCATCTGAAATTTGCCCCATTCATCCCGGAAAATATCCTTGATACGTTTCTACATATTTACACTGCAAATGGCATAAAAACAGGGGTTGTATCTTTTTCATAACTTTCTTTTTCCATAGGTGCAAATTTCTTTCATGTTCCTAGATAATTCTTTTGTTTCTCAGGTTGGACAAACTGGGAAAATTGTAGCACCAGAACTATATATGGCTTTTGGTGTATCTGGAGCCATTCAACATTTGGCAGGGATAAGAGACTCTAAGGTTATTGTGGCTGTGAATAAGGATGCAGATGCCCCAATATTTAAGGTCAATTCCCCCACTCCCAAAGTCTCACAAGGAAAAAGAAAAAATAGTGGCTTGTGACTATTTAGTCATCCTCATAATTCACATACATGTATATGAGATTGGCTTGTGACTGTTTTACATTCCATTGAACCCTCTAATGTGCAGGTTGCTGACTATGGACTTGTTGGAGATCTTTTTGATGTTATACCAGAGTTGCTGGAGAAGCTACCCGAAAATAAGTAACCTTCTATTTCTTATCACTGCTTGAATTGTGCTGGAAAGAGTAGAAAGGGGGAAATAGGTATGCCATTTATCTGAATCTTTGGATCATTTATCTCAACAAAAAGGAATCCCCCAAGCATGTAAATATTCCAAGGCAATAAAGATATACATTCATATTTTCTCAGATTCTACAGTTATCAGCTGTTCAAATTTATGGCTGAACCAGAGAAAATTTCTTGACCTTTGGAAGCAAGAGACTGCATAAAATTGCTACTTTGTGTGATGGGAAAGAAGAACTATACTTGCCTACGCATTGGTGAGTAGCTCTTTTTGACTTTCCGATGTGGTGTGTTATTATTGGTCTATTTTTACTATATTTAATAGATAAGTAGATTCCAATTAATATATTTGAGATGGGAAGAATGATACACCACATCAGAAAATTAGTAGGAGCTCTTACTGACCGTTGACCGTTGCGTAGGCAAGTATTTTTTAGGAAAGAACGATGAAATTATAGGAACTTTGTAGATGTCATGTTCTTTTTTTTTTTTGAGTACAACATATGGGGGTGGGGGGGATCGAACTCACAACCTCATGGTTGGAAGTATATGTCAATTACCGTTGAATTATGCTCGATTTGACTTTACTTACATATTCTGTTTATTGCATTAACATGAAAGTTGATATCTAGATTTCCTGTGATAACAAATTTATTTTAGTTTTTTTTAATATTTAGAAACAATTAACTTATAAATATTGTCTTTACATTTAATCTTTTTGTACTTTTTTTAGTTACTTTTGAAATCTTAACAAATTTTGGAAAGTGAAAAATCCAAGGACTGTTTGGTATGGTTTTTTGCCTGTTTTGTAACGTTTATTGTTTCTGTTTTCTCATTTTTAATAAAGAAAAATGAAAGTGCATAACCTCCAACCCCATGGATTTAAGAATGATAAAACAAAATGTTTACTTACAGTTAGAAACAAATGGAAATGGGAACAAGAATAAGAAATTTGTTTTTCTTGTTTTAGAAATTTCTATATACGTTTGAGAATGTTTCTAAAGATGAAAAACACGAAATATAAATAATTGTCAAATGCTTAGATTTTTTTAATACAATCTAATAAAATTGAAAATGAGAAAAGTTTTACCAAATGACCCTTTTTTTCTTAAACAATTTTTTTTTGTTTCTTAGTTATTTTTTTATTGGAAAAAATAAAAACATATTCAGTAACCATTTTTTGTTTCTTGTTCTTTACAATTTTAGATTATAAAAATTAAAAGTTTTATTTGAAAATTATTCTTAAAAAGTTAAATATTCAAAATTGTTAAGCTTTATTTATTTTTTAAATAAATATTATATATTTTATAAATCAGGAATGATAAAACCATGCTTTTATTTACATTTTGAAAAAAAACATTAGAAATGTGAAACCAGAAACTAAAAAATTGATTTTGTTTTATCTAAAAAATTTTCTACAAAATTTCAAAAAATGAAAAACGAGAAATAGAAATAGTTACAAAACACTTAATGAGTTTTTTTTTAGTACAATATGTGGGGATGTAGATTCGAACTTTCAACCTCATGGTTGAATACATGTGCCTTAACCTAACATGAGTTTTGAAAAATGTAATATTGAAAACAAAATTACCATGGATTAAAATACTCGTGTACAGATATGAAATTTTGTTTGTTTGTTTTTTTAAAGACATTAAACAATATGGACGAAGAACACACAAATTCTATAATTTCCATCTCATTTTCTTGTATTAAAATGATAGGTAGTTGGGAGACTCTTTTCCAACATATTCTTCCCAATCAAATCAAAATAATCAATGAACTTCTTCTCCTAAATTGAGCAAAAAATATCCCCAAAAAACCCTAGTCATTTGAATTTGATGATGTCAATCTATTATTTATAATTAGTCTCCTCTAGTTATATAGTCTTCTCACCAAAGTGCCATTTATTTATTAATTTCTCCAAAATGGAACTCTGCCTCAAGATTTAAAATTAAAGTCAATGAGTTTGAGTGGTGTAATTAACTAGAA